TCCATCCCCTCCTCCCTCACGCCAGAGAGAACAAACAAAAAAACGAAAACGAACAAGCAGCAACGGAGGAAGATGAAAATTCACATTCGTGAAGTACAGCAATTAGCGCAAACTGTCGCCCCCGCACGAACCAACAACAACACCTTTTTCTTGTGATGATCATCGCTCTCGGTCTCGTTCTCGCGCGCTCTCAGCGATTTCTCATTCCATCGTGCTCTCTCACTTGAGCGATCTCTAGTCGGTGCGTGCTATCTCGCTCTGGCCACTTACCCCACATACATATGTATGTATGTATGCATCATTAGCGGCGGGGGTGGAAATCGTTCGCTTCCATTAGCCTGTTGCTTTTGGCTTAGAGAAAAACAACGTGAGCGGCTCAACCACAGTGAATTCTAGCTAATGTGAATAGAAACTCCATTGAGATCGTTTGGTCTTTGATTAAATATTGTGTAGAATTTAATAGAACTTAAAGCGAATTCGCCACAGAAGAGGAGGCTACATTTCTTAGGAATGTAAGGGCTATTTATATCCTTTGTACCCATATACGGACTATTACTGTACTCTCGCTTTCGGCATTCCTTCTCCCCTTCGACAGAACATCCTCTTCGTCGTTTTGGCTCATTGGCATTTGAAGCGTCTCGTGTTTCCCGTCTATGAATGCCTTCTGTCCATCTGTCGGCCTTCGTCTGTCGCTTCCACTAAGTAATCCCTATGGATATGTGGATGATAACCAAATCCCAGGAAGTGTGCACAAAAATGTACATAAATTCGTTTTACTTTTGGGTCCGTGGGGGCCCACCGCCGATCAGACACGTGTCTTCGTTCGGGTCCATCTTCATCGTTGCTCATATTCCCTGCTTTTGGTGTTGCTTGCTCATCATCATCGCGGCTGTGCTCTCCCGTTTATTCATTCTCTTTCATTCAACGCTTCATTGCAACGGTAATTGCTTCCAAATGCTTAAATGCTTCCATTGTACCTCTTTGTGGGTCTGACATCGGCCGTACATCTCGTGCTCCTTCTTCGCGTTTCCAGTTTCGGTTTCAGTCCCCTCCGCCTGTGTACGGGATGTCCAACATGTGTCGTCGTCATTGATTTGTTGTTGATGGGCATGAGGCCTGTGTCTGAAGAGCGTCGGAGGGGGGATGGATACGTACAGCCGCCGCGCTCTATTGACATTTGTCTGTCAAAACCCAAAAATCAAAAACGAACAAAAAAAAATCTCATTCAAGGGGGCGTCTTCGGTTTTTATTTTTTGTGTGTGTTTCGATACCCTTGCAAAACGAGCATTACCATTTTGAACACAAGTTTAAAACGGAGGAAAAGAAATATCTCCTATCCTATACGTTGGAATAGCTACTCCGTAAGTGTTGTTTAGCCGAAAATCGAAGCGGTAAATCCTTAATATTGTCCCATCAAATCGGTCGGATAAGAATTCTCAGTGCTCTGATGATGAACCAAAGACCAAATTCGAACCAAAGTGGTTGTAAAATCGTGTCTATCTTCAAAGCTACGTCAATCGATCTGCAAGGGTATAACAATCTTCGGCTAGCAGAAATCTTTCCTGTTTGGTTTTTTGTGTGTTGTTCCAGGAGGCGTTACTCGTAAATTTTTACTTGGCTGCTGGAACCACGATTCTTTTTTGTTTTTCTTGTTTTTGGTACGGGGCAACATTTCGCACAACCCGGAGAGAGAGAGAGACAGAGAGAGAGAGGTGGAGAGAGTGCCAGAGATTGATGGAGCCATGTGTGTGAGGGGGAGTGTCAGAGTGCTGTAGGGAAGGGGCGGAGGGGGGAGTCTGAGCGCATGGAAAGTTCTTCGCTGCATTCTGGGCCAGTCGAACGCTCGTTTTAATTATGAGCCCAGCCTTTGTTGTGCCGTTCTGTTTACAGTTGTTGTCTTCGCATTACCTCTCTCCGCCACCCCCAACCCCGTACACCTCCTCACTTCTCCTCTTTCATCGTTCTGCTTCTTTTTCTTCTGCTTTTTGCATGCGCATTTTATTTAAATTTGTAACCTCATTCCCAATCGCATGCTGAAGAAGCTGAAGCAGCAGCACCACGAGCAATACCCAACACCAGCAACACCCAACACCAGCAATTGTCAATAGTTCTTCGGATTGGGGAAACGTTTTCAAGTGCTTTGTCACGAGATCGCACGGCCAGGGCCCCACACAGGGAAGGAGGTTCGTGCGAATTGGCCTGCTGACAGAGATGCAGTTTCATCAGCTGTGATGGCGGTGAAACCAGCAGTGACTGCGACAAATGCCCGACAACGGTTGGTCACATCATTATATCGGAGAACCTTCATCGCGAATGTTCAAAAAAATCAATGAATTTTCAAATATCAAACTCTCACTTGCACCTTGCAGCTTCCATATCAAGGATTTTTTCAACTCTAAGAAAGAAGCCGTATCCAAACCGGACCTTTTCGAAGTTTTGAGCATACAAGTAAATTTGAAAAGCTGCACAAATATTTTCCAAGGCAATTTTGTTCTGGTACCACTTTAAGCGCCTTAAAAGTAACAAGGCAAACTGAAAGTTTCCTTTCATTTAAATAAATGCTATAACGAGTGGGAACAGTACAGTATCTTGATTTAGCAGCTTTGGCTAACATCCTACGAGTATGCTGCAGCTTAAGTTATCGACATAAGCCGACTAGCTAAAAATAAATTAAATATTAATAACTAGGGGGCGTCAACCCCTGGCTCTCTCGCTTTGCTCGGTCGCGCCGATATGAGTCAAGTATGGGACGACGACGACGACCCAAAACTATTTTATATAAAAATGTTCAATAATCTATTAAAACTTCATAATTTTTTCCAGGTGTTTGCCCTGAATGGAGAATGCTAGATCATTCAGATAATCTTACTGTTGAGATATGGAAGGACACACTACCACATGTATGTATAAATATTCATTGGTGTACTCTATATTAAACGAAATCATTGTTTTCCCTAGGTTCTTTCCTGCGGACGAGGGATTTCATAAATTGTCGACTTTTTGGGAATGTTATATAGAAGGTATGGTCCTCCAAATATGAATGTCTGGATATGTATATTAAATCGCAGTTTTTCGGCTCCTCCCCGTCGGAACGACAAGCGCTGTCGGCCTACGGCTCATCTCCATTTCGGGGGCATTCCCGCTCCCGGGGCCCGGGATGGGGCCGTGGAGCTCTTTATGCCAGTTTGTCTTATCAATGTCAAGAGAGTTCCCTTTCCCATATAACACTTTTCCATCGTGTGATCGAACATGCAAGCAGCGTGTACATGCCCATACATACATACATACATATGTATATTTACATACTATCTGGTTGAATGGATGGATGGATGGATGGATGGACGGATGGGTGTACCTCTACAGCCTCTACACACACACAGAAACAGACAGAAACACACATGGCACATACATATGCATATGTAGGGCAATGGTGGAGCTGTTGCTGTCACTTTTGTGTGGCACTTCCGGCTAGGGGGAGAGAGGTAGGCATGCTACCGCCACCGCTGCTGCTGCTGCTGCTGCTGCTTTCTTTCGGCTGCATCTGCTGGCCACCAATCAAGATTTTAATGCATTGGACCCGATGGCTAATTTATGCCAGAGTATAATATCACTTAAGCTGACTCCGCTCTCGGGAATGGAAGTGGAAGTGGAAGTGTGGTAGTGGCAGTGGCTGTGGCTGTGGCTGTGGCAGAGACAGTGGGAGTGGGAATGGAAATGGTATTGGGATTGGGGACACTATCTATAAACAGAGTCATGTCATGTTAGCGACTGTCCTCCCCCCCACCATTTCTGTTATCCGTAACAGGGCACCCGAAGTGCTAGACAACGACCTGGTTTCCCCACGGCTGCCGAACGGTATGGTTCTGGGCCTCGTGGCCTCGTGCCTGCTCGGGGGACATCCCCCACAAATCGGGTTTCATTTTTTAGTACAGCCCGTGCGACACGACGAGCCGCCCCGAACAGTAGAGAGCGCTTGGTCGGGTCGGGTCGGTCGGGTATTATATGTATTTTTAGCGGAGGCACGCGACGCCACAATCGGAGGCTTGAGGCTGCTGGGAACAGATTCCCTGCCACAGCAAATGTTTTGCATGCCGATGCGCGTGCCTCTGCCACCGTTAACAGGGGCAGCGCTGTCTCTGCTGCCTCTGCTGTCTCTGCTGTTCTGCCACTGCCATGCCCCGCCACGGTGCAGCGCTACTTCGTACTCCAATGGGGTTTTGCTGCGTTTTCGTGGAACAAGTTTTTAGTACGTGTTCCGCCGTGTCAGCATACAGTCGTTCCCAGCAGCGACTATCGGAGCTATCGGACCCACAGAACCCGTACAGGTCGCGCTCGCTTGGGTTATCTGTCTCGGTTTTGCTCGCTCTCGCTCTCGCACTCGCACTCCGCCCCGCTCCCTCTCTCTCTCTCTCTCTCCCTCCAACTCCAAATCAACAAAAATAAAAATCAGAAGAGCAACAAAAATATTTAAAAAAAAAAAGAAAAACAAAACATAAAACACATCTAAAATATAACGGCACCGCCGCGACATACCGCTCCACCCAAAACGCTCCAAACATTATTTGTGTGATTTTCCCCTGGATTCTAACTGTTGGGGGAAATTTTGGTATATTTTTGGGTAAATTCAAAAGGAGTTCTAATTTTTTGCCTGTGCAAATTCGAGTGCAACAAAAATAAATCGAGAATAAATTATAATCAATGTGCCGTGCCGAATGACCGAAAGGAAAATCGCAATTAAAATAAATTAAAGATTTTTTTGTGTGTGCGTACCAGCGTAGCAGCCTGTCCAGCTTCCTGTGAAAACCGGTCCAGCATCCGACGCGCGATTGCACCTGCGAGAAGCCAAGAAATTCATAGAGGAGTAGGAGAAGTGGCACACCACAGCACAGCACAGCTCAGAGCGAAGCCTCCAATTCCAAGACGTGAAAGAAGTATAGGAACTGGCCGCAACAGGGGACAACGAAGAAACCCGTTTTTTGGAGAAAGGAAAAGGGAAAGAGGTGCTGGTTGCCCACCAAAAGGCTGCGGGCCCGCACCCCGAGAGCCTGCCAAGGCCAAACCGTAAGCCCCCCTCCCCGCCCGTCTATTGTTCCAAACAAAAGAACAACAAATATCCCCACAAAACATTGGACACTTCTTTATGGTAAGTTCTTCGAGTGCCCAAACACCTTCCCCCCCCTCCACCAGAATTTCCACCTCACTTTCGCACTTTTTGGCTGCACCTTAAGGGGGCTCTCTCTCTCTCGCCCTCTCTCTGTCTCTGAAAGCGAAATCTAATCCAATCCAATCAGTCAATCAATCAATCAATCAATCAATGCAAAATGACTTGAAAAAAACACTGTTGCAAGTCAATTAAGACGCAAGACGTTGGACATCCATAGACTCTGCAGGAGTCTGCAGATGAGGGCCGATAATATGCGGTGGGTGTGGGTGTGGGTGTGAGGTGGTAAGGAGGGTAAGAGGGGCCTTTCGCTTCCGGACAGGCAGGCCTACTCTAATGAACTTTGAATTTCCACCTTCAGTAGAATATTCCAATTTCCAATTGAAATCTAAATAAAATAAATTGCAATATTTTCGATTGGATAGATTAAATATCTCAAAGGTTTGCTGGTATTATCCTGCAATTTGGCTTAACTTAAATTTCTTCTGGGCCTATTTCCCAACTTTGTTGCGTTTCCCCATTGAATAAAAAAAATTTAATTATTTAAATGTAAATAAATAAAACATCTTTCAAAGCTGCAAATTTCGGAAGTTTCTTTTCAATTTGCTGGCAAATAATTCCCCCTAACTGGGTCAACTATTTCCGTATACCCATAAATCACTTGGCAGAAGCCGAAGTAAATCAAACGAAAACTTTATCAAGTCAAATGTTTTTTGTTTCTTGTTTAATTTTCATTGAAATTGTTCAGTGAATTATCAATTATTTATTTCATTAATTTGATAAATACATACATATTTTACTGGCCTGATTTCATATTGCACATTTTTGTTGCAAAAACACCACAAAATCGAGTCGAAATTTGTGTGTGTGTGTATTTTCCTGACAAAAATTCTTGAAGAATTTTTTTTTCAATTAGAAGTCCACAAAATTCTTATCGCACACATTGAGCTTCGAGATTTTCGATTTTAGGAGAAAGCTGTTTGACATTTTTGTGGATTCCGATCAATGGAATGCTCATAGGATTCCACCTTGTCGATTTTTCCTGCAAAGATTTGGCCGGGGGGTTGGGTGCCATAATTTAATTGCTGCTTAAACTCTCTAACCTTGGATACCACCACTCTCCCCCACCATCTACCTCTCCAGCCATCTGTGAACACTCGGTAAACTTTTAGCCAATTGCCAAATGACAAAACCAACAAAAAATCTTGTTTGCCAATCAAATTTTTCAAGTGAAGACCACAACAAAGCAACTCGAGAGAATCCAAGGGGTAAATGGCAGAACAACAGAGTGGGTGGTGGCATGGGTAGGGGCAGGGGCACGGGCAGGGGCGGGGGCACGGGCAGGGGGTTGATTGAGTGAGAGAAAACGCTCAACAAACCAGACCAAAAATATGTCCCTCTTTGCATTTTTCTTTCTGCTACCTCTCGATGCTTTTCAAGTCACAAAAACTGCTTTCATCCTTTGCACCCTTTAGAGGGTAATTTGCAAAGAATAGATATACATATCTGCACCTATTCTTGATCATCCAGAACAGAGGCCAAAGAATCAACAGTCTCTGGTTTCAAAGGGTATCAAATGGTTCGGCATCCGAAGACTTCATTGCTTGGCTCTCCTTTCGGGGTCTTTTTTTTAAGCTGAAACTTTTCTAATCAAATTAGGAGTCTGTCGGCATTTTGGCAGGGTGGATCCGGTGGTTGGGAGGGGGAGGCTGTGAGTGTGATGCTGTGAAAGTGAAAATTATCAAAGTCAATTTAGAGTCGGTGTGGAAGTGGAGATACATACATATTCCAAAGGCAGTGGCAACGAGGGATGGGAGGAGTCACTTTCTGCCACTCTCAGTTATGACAAAAACATGTCAGAAATCACCATTTGGACTACTTACTTGCCTTAAGGTCGTGAAACGCACTGTTGGCCCCCACACCCCCCCATAAAAATGTTCATCATCATTTGTTGCCTGGCCCGAACTGCAAATGGCCAAAACTTTACACATCTCAATGACCTTGGATCACCAGTCCTCCCCCCGCCTTATTGTACCCCCACCAGAAAACATATTTATTTATAAATGCGAAACGAAAATGGCAGATGGAAGCAGAGAGCCAGAGAGAGACAGAGACAGAGGGAGAGGCAGAGGCCAGAGGCAGAGAGGCGGTGGGAAAAATAGAAAAGTTTGCTGCATAAAACTGAATTACCGGAAATTGGCCAACAAAATAAAAGGAAAATAAACGGCAATGCGAAAAAATGCTGGAAGCTCTCTACTTCGCTCCACCCAAAAGTAGGTGCTGCCTGCTGCCCGAAAAGAAGGAATACGACTGCGAATCAGAGCGAGAAAGAGAGAGAGAGTCGAAAAAGTTTTTCCCAATACCTCGATGTACTTGTGGATACAAGGGTGTCTGGTATTCCATTCTGCATCGGATATTGATAGCCAAAATATCCAACGATAGGCAACGATAACGATAACAAATATCGAGAACAGCAAGCCCGAGTTCCTCGAATATCCCTTGAAATGACCCTCAAGAAACAGCCATATAACACCCATACCCATAGATGGGTATTTTCATGGTCGAGTCAATCGACTCTATATCGTTCTTACTTGTTTGTTACCTACTTTAACTCTGTTCTGGTGCCTCCTCCTTCTCCTTCATTGAATTTCCTACTCCTCCACTCTTCGCCGAAAGTGTGTGAAGCGAGTGAAAAAAAGTGAGCAAAATAAACAAGAAACTAGCGCAAAAACTTTGCTCCAACTGAAAGAGACAGAAGCACACAGATAGAATGAGACAGGAATGCCACAATACAGAGTAGGACAGATAGAGAGAGAGACAGGGAGAGGGAGAGGAAGAGATGTGCCAAATATGGAACAGAATGAAACCATTAACCGAAAATATGACAAAGGCAGAAGTCGCAGCCCGACTGTGGGAAAATGTCCCCAAGAGAGTGAAATTAGAAAAGAAATGGTAGAGAAAGCGAGAGGCAGAAAGGGGCTAACGACAAACATACGAGATGTGAGGAAATTTGTGAAAAATACTTTCAACTGTTTTGAGGACATTAATATAGGTTCAAAAGGATCTACATATTTGATAAAAAAAGGGCTTCGTCTGTGCTTGCTTCAAATATCCTTTATCCCCAAACTACATCAGTTTCCAGGAACTGTCGGAGAAGCTTTTCCCCAGCCCCAGCCCCTCGAAAATTATATCTTTCATATTTTTGTGCATTTTCTTGAGTTTTCATTTAAATTTCGTGTTCGCAGCCGTTTCTGTGGCTGTTCTGTTCTGCTCTGTTCTGTGCTACAATAATTGCAAGTGTGCCACTTGCTTTTGACACCTGCTTTCATCGTGGGTGGGCGGAGATGGTACTGGGGAAGGGGAAGGAGAAGGGGAGGGGGAGTCATTTATTATGGCCAAGAAGCTGGCCTTGCCCCGCACTCAGGCGCCTTCGTTTCGCCCTATTTTCTTCTCCACCTACATTATGGTACCCTAAATGAAAAGTACAATGATTTTGGTCAGATATTTGTTCGTAATATATTCGATACGATTATTATATGAAAGAGTTTTTGCAAGTCCATGACTCTGACAACAAATATAAGTTATGGAAACATTCGGTCTTTGGTTAAATATTATTTGGTAGGAAACATTAGTGGGGATACATCTGTAAGGGTATCAACGGTTTCGGCTCTTGATGCTGGATGCCATTGTTGTTGCTGGTTCTGTCGCCGTTTGTAATTGACATGAAAATTTAATGCCATAATTTTATTTTGCACTTGGCCTCGCACTCCACCAACCCAGCACCCCCCACCTCCCACTCACCTTCCAGTAAGGCATGGCCCCGCCCGCCAGCCATCGCCCACCGCTCCTTCAGTGGTGTTTGCCTTTGTGCTTTTTTAGATTAGAAAAGTTTTGTCGTTGTTTGTAATTTTTTTTATATATATATATATTTACGGATGGTGTTTCTTTTTTCTCTTTTGCCCTTTTGTTTAATGGGCCCGCAGGCGCGCCGCCCCTTGAATAGGCCAAGGGAGAAAAAAAGGGCATAGTTTTTGGTCAACTTGGAAGTGTTTGAAGTGGACGAAGGAGCCGAAGGAGCCAGGTTCATTGTCATTTAGTCCTCTTGCCGTCAGAAGTTTGCTTCCTTTTTTATTACGTATAGTTTTCAAAAGAAGTGGGGGAAAAAGTTTTGCGATCAATATATTTTTATTCAATAAATATCAAATTTTTTTTTTGTTTTTCGTCTGATGTTTGCAGTATTTAATTGAATTAATTTCCCATAGCAAGAACTAAGAGTTTTTAAATGGTTTTTAATGGAATTATGTGGATTCTATTCAAGGCAAATATTAACTGTAATTGAAAGCGATTAAAAGTGCGGCCAAATGTAAAGAAAAACCCATTTAAACTAAGTGCAAGACCATTCGAACAGATTGCAAATAATAATTTATGGTGTGCTACGGATGGTCCATGGTGCAGCTTTCATCAAGGAAAGTTCCAGCTATTCCGTTTCTTTTTAGGGACTTTTTTTCCCTTGGAGCTGTATCCTTCTGTTGTGGAAAAACTCTCTCCTCTGGATACGCTCGGCGTTTACTTACTCTGCTTCTTGTTGAGTGCAAAGTTATTAAAAATTAAACAACTTTAAAGTGGTTTACTTGTAATTAGAGCCAGGGTCTTCTTTGTGCTTAACATCTCGCTCCGAATGGGCTTTTCACGTTGGTTAATTCGCATTTATTTCCCGGCCATACCGTATGTCCGGGAAATGTTTCACTTTACGGGGGAATCCTGCTTTATCATTTTGGTTTTGGTTTTGGGTTTTTTGTTTCTTGTTCGGCTTTTCTGCCGGAGGGAGTTTGTGCTTCCATTTGGGCAGAAAATCGCACCGAAAAGGCTCCCGGGCGCCTTCTGCATTCGAATGACCTGCTCAATGCGGGCTACGCCCCCACGCCCCCACTTCCCCCGACGCCAACGCCAAAGGAGGAGAGGCGAGCATGCTTAATAATTCA